ACTTAATCTCTAAATGACCTGGAAGAGGAAGCAGAAGGTGGAATTATTTCTTAATGGTAGAAATAAAGGAGAGAGAATTGGGATTCAAGGACATCTTGATGAGCCAAAATGGAGAGAAACTACCAAGGTGGAAGTCCAATGGGGCCATTGCATAGTTGTGAGTAGGAAGACTCAGTGGAAGAAGAGAGAGAGAGATCAGATGGGCAAAAGAGCATGTGTGAAAAGGGCTGCTCTCTTTGGAAGTTGAAGGATTCCAGGTAGGCGGTTCAAACAAATACAGAGAGAGTTATTCAAGTGAGCCTTCTGGCCATCAGCTTCTCCTAGGAGCTGCTCACAAGACCAGCCTCAAAACTTCCATAGAATTGGTGGGTTCCAAAACATCCACCCAGGAGGGGCTGCCCCATCCCAGCCTCTTCTGGGCAAAAGAAGGAAAATACAAAGCTTAGAAATTAAAACAAAGGATTTCATTGTTGGCCTTTTAGGTGGCGCTCAGAGAAAAAGGATCTCTTGGGGGTTAAGACAACATGAACTCCATTCAATTCATTTAAAGCCTTTTTTCTTTCCCCCAAACTCTCCCTCCCCCCCATTGCAACGAGGTCAGTCTGTGTTAAGACGACATAATACATCTAAAAAATGTTTTAAAGCTCCATTTTCCAACTGCCCGTGTGGGATTTCGATGCTCAGGGACCTCTGACGAACCACACTGAGAGTCTGAGACCTTCTGAAGCAACTTACCCAAACATTCCTTTCCAGATCCTCACCCCCAGCCCCGCAAGGAGCCTTTGCCGGGCGAAGAAGGGACAGATCCAGCCGATGGACTGAGCCCCTTTTGGCCCCCTGGAGGGATGGGGGGGATCCGCTCCCTGCAGCAAACGACAAAGACGGATCTCCCCGAGGATAACCCTGCAAACCGAAGAGCGGAATCCGCAGCTCCCTTCCTCCTGGCGGGTGGAGGATCACCTGGGAGGAGGGGCGGCCTGGAGGCCGGAAGAAGAGCAGCCCCACAGGGACTGAGAGGGATCCAGGAGCCTTTCTAGAGGGATCCAGCGCCGATCCTTCTCGTACAAAGAAGTAAGCGGAGATCCAGCCGTGAGAGGGGAAGGGGAGGGGCCTCTGCTGTCTTCGGGCTCCGCCCCCGCACTCCAGCCACGCCCCTTGGCCAACTCCTTCTCCCTCCGCCCCTCCCCTGCTCCGAAACTTTTTCTGTTCCTCCAATGTTGAGGGTTCCTCTGCCCATGGGAAGAGTGTCCCTCTGCATGTTGGAAGCAGGGCTGTCCCTCCTTCTCCAGTGTGTTCGTGCGTGTGTGCATGTGTTATTGTTTGTGTCTGTCTGTCCTTCCTAACATGATAATAAGTATTTATTTTTACTCCCAGGAACTTTTCATTCAGGTATCATCAGGATCTACAGTGATCTGGAACAGCCACTGGGGCAGAAGTCACATGATGACCCTCCATCTGAGAATGAAAATTGGGTGGGGGTCTCTGAGCATGGAGGGGTCTTCTCACATTCCTTTGTTTCCTAATCCCCAGAGACCCCGAGACAGGAAAGAAAAGAGTTTGGGGGAGCAGCTCAGATCTCCTGTTGTTCCCAACACAATGTAACAGGGATACAAGGCTGAAAACGTTGCCCAGCCACTGCGGAATAGAAATGATTTGGTTTTTTTCCTCACTTATATCCGGCTTTATTATTTTTAACAATAAGTTAAGGCAGTGAATATATCCCACCCGCCTTCCTTCCCATCTCTGGAGGGACCTGAAAATGGCTCTCCATGGATGGTCACCATCCAACCTGACTGAGCTGGAGAGGATTTGCAAGGAAGAAGGGCAGAAAATCCCCCGATCCAGATGTGCAAA